TAATTAACACCATAGAGAACTGTCGAAATTGTTATATTTCGGGTGAGTCCCCTACAAAATACGAGATGCTCGTGGGCCGATGTCCTTCCTGTGCCTACAAGAAAACTAAACCGAATAAGTATGGACTGATGATGCAAAGACTCACCACTACCTGCTCAATGCTTTCGTCTATACGAACAGAAATATCACAGCAGATGACTGGTTCACGTCAGTAGAATTACATGTAGAATTGCGCATCAACCAACTGACCTATGTCGGCAGGAAGCGTAAAAATAAGTAACAAGTACCCCAACATGTAGTTCCAAATAAGAAGGAAACACAGCCAGGTACTTCTAAGTTTATGTTGTACAGCCTTAGAGTAGTATCTTCCAAAACCAAATACACATGTTCTCGTATAGCAATCTATGCAGCATGATAACAAAATAGTAGAGGAATCAAAGAAACCTGATAAGATCCTATATTATTTTTATAACACTATGAAGGCGGGGGGTAATGCATTAGATCGGAAGTGTGTAAATTACAATACTGGTTAGAGAACGAGAAGATGGCCTTGTGCTATTTGGTATCCAACCAGCTTCTGTAAATTCCTTTTTTTTTCAGTCTGGGACTGAAAGTTCATTAGGCGACGAAATTTTATTGTTCCCCTGAGGCAAACTCTAATTTAACTTCGTATGAGAGGACGTTTATCAGATCCAAGACTTCCTAGGGAGCTTCGTTCAGCCATGCAAAGAATCCTAAATTACCAACGACGAATAAAGTAAGCCGTCTACTTCTCAGCCCAGAGTTCTCGATCCTGATGCAGTTGTTAAAGAAAAAAAACGACGTAGGTGTTACATGACAATACACAATGAAAAAAATGTTCTACAATCTGTAATAAGTATGTAAAGTCACAGCGCACTTACATTGTTTCGTGAAAAGTGATAAATGTTAATTATTGTATGTTTCCTTATACGAGAAAGTATTTGTTTTTGTTGTAGAATATCAACACCAAATATGTTGTTAAATGGCCCATTTTGTTAGTTTTTTTATGTTCATATTACAGTTCAAGTTTCGAATTATTTATTTATTTACTCATCTTCAATGGGGTATTTTCGTTTTTAGACAATAAACAGTTTTCATGTAAGAGTGTCTTATGCGTACAAACCTGTTGTACACATGGCTAAAAACAGTAATGGCATTTCAGATGTTGATAGTAAGATCCGGTGGATAACCTGTTTTGCGAGATTAGACGTGGGATTTCCAACACGAACCCATCTGTTTATTTGAAGCATTAAAAACTGTAATAATCAACAATTTCAGTTTTCCATTGACAATAATGAAGAATTATGAAGGCGATTCATGTAAGGCACTAGGTAACTTCGCGTTGCTTTTAGAAGAGTATTGTCTGAATAGACAACAGTTACCTTGTGATTCTTCACCGAGCTGCATTTTTCAAGTTGAAAAATCGGGTGCTGAAAGTGATGGATCTATAGATTTGTGAGAATTTGCTGCTGCTTCAACTCTTTTTGTAATAACAATAACAGTCTATATGAAATTTAACAATTCTGTTTCTTCTTTGATTTTGAGTCACCCTGTAAATGTAGCTCTACTAAACTATCGGACCGCATTCATAGCCTACAAGAGAAAAAAATCTTCTATACTGGAAAGGAGGAAAAAAAGAATGTATCAACCTGATACATCTGCCCCTCTTATAACCCGTGAAATAGCCCTAGTTCTAATTAAATTTCAGTTCAAGCTTCCAAAATGACTTCCAACAATATTAAAGTAGCCACAAAGATCAGACCAATGATCCACCGCGAAGTAGCCGATGGTCTAGAGCGTCTTTGGAACGTAAGAGTAAACTGCATATGGGAAGCCGATGAAAGTAGTCGCCATGGAGAGGTTTATATATTCGACCATGTATTTAATCAGGAATGTACAAATTCAGATGTATATGGATCTGTAGTAAAACCTTTAGTCGATTCCTTCATGGAAGGTTTCAATGCCACAATATTTGCATATGGCCAAACATCTTCTGGCAAAACACACACCATTTTGGGCAATAAAACAGATCCTGGGCTTTTCCAATTAGTATCCAATCAGTTATTCCAGCATGTGGCAGACCAGGTTGATAAGAGGTACTTGATTAGATGCAGTTATATTGAAATCTACAATGAAAAGATCAATGACCTCCTGGATAAGAGCAATCAGGGTTTAACTAGAGAAGATATCAAAGGAAATGTGCTGCTTGATGCAAGGGAAGCTGTCGTAGACAATGTTGATAAAGTTATGGAGAACATGATGCAGGGCAATAAGATCAGACGAGTTGCAGCTACTCGCATGAATGAGAGGTCATCTCGATCACACACGATTTTCCGGATTATTCTGGAGTCGAAAGATGCCAATCAGAAAGATGGACCTGTACATATAAGCTACCTTAACTTAATGGACTTAGCTGGTTCTGAGAGAGTTTCTCTGACGAAAGCTGCTGGTGAGCGTCTTAAAGAGGGGGCTAACATAAACAAATCTTTGTCAGTATTAGGAAATGTGATAAGGCAACTAAGCGAGGGGAAGGAGTTTATCAGTTATCGCGATTCGAAATTGACTAGACTGCTCTCACAGGCTCTTGGCGGTAATGCCAAATCATTGATTATCGGGAATGTTACTTTAGCTGCAGAGGAGGAGACTAGATCTACACCAGAATTCGCCCAAAGCACTAAAACTGTCAAAAATAAAACGAAAGTAAACATCTTGTCAGCTACAGAAGAGACACTTCAAGGATATCAGAACTTGACTCGCGATCTCGAAACTCGGCTCAAAAAGCAGGCAATTAAGCTAAAAGAGATGGATAAAAGCAAACAAGAGTATCTGCTCGAGATAGAAAGACTAAAAACGGAAGTATCTATTGTCGGGCGCTTTCAAATGGGAGCCTCGGCATCAACACCGAAAAAAACATTAAGACGTCATACTTTTGGACACTATGGCAACGTATCACCTAAAAAAGCATCCCTAGGGTATATGCCATTGAAAAATTATCCACCCAAAGAAGAATCATCCGGACGTGAAATGAGGCCTATTCAAGAAGAGACATATGAGGAGGCACTAGCCGAAGCAGAATCTGTGATAGCTGAAGACGTGCCTGCAAGTGTACTTAAAAGACAAACTCAAAGAACTGGAAGAATCTTTCAATGAGCTCAGAGAATTAACTAAACTAGATAATCAGCTGGAGATTTTGGACCTGAAGAAAACAGCTCACAGAAGCCAATTCTAAAATCGATCGTTACAGTCAGGAACTCCGCCAAGTAACGGATGCGTACAATGAAGAAATAGAAAGGGTTCAAAAATATTCTCAAAAAGCGCAAGAATTTCATCGACTTGCATACAGACCGATTTTCTGGAAAAAACATTATAAAAGGCTAAAAACGTACGAGTCAGAAATAGAGATGCTGCGTACTCAACTGAAGAACCTAGGAAGATCAGAGAGCCCTAAACTATCTCTTGAAGCTCAAAATATTGAGTCAAAAAAGAAGGTTGCAGACTTAGAAGCTATGCTTGACGCTGAGTACGAAGATATGCAAGATTCTTTAAGTGCTGCTACCAAACTGATGTAACGATGTCACACATTGCTGAACTGCAAGATGAAATTGGCTTCCTAAAAGAACTTGAATTCTAAACTGAGAAATGACGTAAAGAGTCTGATGGACGAGAGTAACCAACGTGAGGTCAACCACTCATTTAAAATCTCAGATATACGATGCCATAATGATTCTACTATAAAAGAGCTTCAGGATCAAATGGCTGAACTGGAATGCCAAAACGAAATCTGGATTATGAAAAATGACGACGAAATCGGTAAATTGCAACAACTAATTACAAACCCGAAGCAGGCTGGCACTTAACCAGAACCAGCTGTGCAGGAAGACGTTGCATTTTATAGGGAGCAAGTTGAGTTCTCCCAGAACATGTACAAAAATGAGATAATAGGTGGAGGGTTACGTATAAACCATAGAGAAAAATCTTCAGGCAGTTAAACTAGAAATATGTCTACCCTTGTTTAGTGTTTACGATTATTGCAGGGTTTGGACAAAGTTTAGGGCTGATCCCAGTGCTCACAGTGTACAATTTTCAGCTAATAAATCTTGAATTCTGAGGTAACAAAATCAACTAGAACTCTGTAAAAGTGATTTATCAGAAATCATGCCCTTACTTCCATGATAAGAGGGATTCGTAAAAATTATAAGCAGGTTGTGGCTTATTATCTAGTAAAGATACAAGAATCCCAGATCTGAAAACGATTATTGATCATGTGATCACAAACCTGCAGCGACTTGGTTTGTGCGTCGTTGGCACTATTACTAATCAGGGCGCAACGATCAAAAACGCACTTGAGACGATTTGCTCGGAGAATTCTCACGGATCAAGTCCATTCCATTTTATAGTCAATGCTCAGAGTATTTCTATAATTTGTGATGAACCACATTTATTCAAAAATGGATGAAATGCTCTTATTGATATTAATATGAAAGTGAAGAAGCTGCACAGATTGAACATGTCTAGAAATCATATAATGTTGATCAGCAAACAAGACCATACAAAGAGCGATGTAAATTGAAACCCAGCCACTTTGATTTTATAGATTCGTTCAAGAATATAGAAATTAATCCTTTAATGGTATCGTCGGATGATTCGAGCTTTCTCAGTTATGTGGTGGGGGTCCCGTGACTTCTCATACGGTATAAGCACGTATACCTCAAACCACAGTTTAATTTAAACATCACAGTTGTTGGTTTGTTGACTTTGCAGTCAAATTTGATCCGAGGATGTCAGTTGCGTGTACGATTTGAACTTCCTTCACAATGGATTTTTTCGTTGTTGACGGATGAACAATACACCATAGACTACGCCGAGGACGACGCTGTTATCGATCAACCTGAACAACTTCCTATGGGCGACCTCGCTATGCTTATGGAAAAAACATGTACAATTGGTCAAAACGAGCGCCTGCAACTGGTCGATCCAGACGACAATATTATTACGCATTTACCTGAACTAAAGTCCGTGGCAACCAATTTGGAAATAATAACCCTGTGACTCGAGAAATGCCGATAAATTTCTCCAAATACGTGAAATTTTCGAGACACTCATAGAGAACTGTCGAAATTGTTATATTTCGGGTGAGTCCCCTACAAAATACGAGATGCTCGTGGGCCGATGTCCTTCCTGTGCCTACAAGAAAACTAAACCGAATAAGTATGGACTGATGATGCAAAGACTCACCACTACCTGCTCAATGCTTTCGTCTATACGAACAGAAATATCACAGCAGATGACTGGTTCACGTCAGTAGAATTACATGTAGAATTGCGCATCAACCAACTGACCTATGTCGGCAGGAACCGTAAAAATAAGTAACAAGTATCCCAACATGTAGTTCCAAATAAGAAGGAAACACAGCCAGGTACTTCTAAGTTTATGTTCACTACGCCTTAGAGTAGTATCTTCCAAAACCAAATACACATGTTCTCGTATAGCAATCTATGCAGCATGATAACAAAATAGTAGAGGAATCAAAGAAACCTGATAAGATTCTATATTATTTTTATAACACTATGAAGGCGGGGGTAATGCATTAGATCGGAAGTGTGTAAATTACAATACTGGTTAGAGAACGAGAAGATGGCCTTGTGCTATTTGGTATCCAACCAGCTTCTGTAAATTCCTTTTTTTTCAGTCTGGGACTGAAAGTTCTATTAGGCGACGAAATTTTATTGTTCCCCTGAGGCAAACTCTAATTTAACTTCGTATGAGAGGACGTTTATCAGATCCAAGACTTCCTAGGGAGCTCTTCGTTCAGCCATGCAAAGAATCCTAAATTACCAACGACGAATAAAGTGAGCCGTCTATTTCTCAGCCCAGAGTTCTCGATCCTGATGCAGTTGTTAAAGGGAAAAAACGACGTAGGTGTTACATGACAATACACAATGAAAAAAATGTTCTACAATCTGTAATAAGTATGTAAAGTCAGAGCGCAGTTACATTGTTTCGTGAAAAGTGATAAATGTGAATTATTGTACGTTTCCTATACGAGAAAGTATTTGTTTTGTTGTAGAATATCAACACCAAATATGTTGTTAAATGGCCCATTTTGTTAGTTTTTTTATGTTCATATTACAGTTCAAGTTTCGTAAATTATATTTATTGCATTACTCATCTTCAAATGGGGTATTTTCGTTTTTAGACAATAAACAGTTTTCATGTAAGAGTGTCTTATGCGTACAAACCTGTTGTACACATTGCTAAAAACAGTAATGGCATTTCAGAAGTTGATAGTAAGATCCGGTGGATAACCTGTTTTGCGAGATTAGACGTGGGATTTCCAACACGAACCCCATCTGCTTATTTGCAGCATTAAAAACTGTAATAATCAACAATTTCAGTTTTCCATTGACAATAATGAAGAATTATGAAGGCGATTCATGTAAGCCACTAGGTAACTTCGCGTTGCTTTTAGAAGAGTATTGTCTGAATAGACAACAGTTACCTTGTGATTCTTCACCGAGCTGCATTTTTCAAGTTGAAAAATCGGGGTGCTGAAAGTGATGGATCTATAGATTTGTGAGAATTTGCTGCTGCTTCAACTTCTTTTTGTAATAACAATAACAGTCTATATAAAATTTAACAATTCTGTTTCTTCTTTGATTTTGAGTCACCCTGTAAATGTAGCTCTACTAAACTATCGGACCGCATTCATAGCCTACAAGAGAAAAAAATCTTCTATACTGGAAAGGAGGAAAAAAAGAATGTATCAACCTGATACATCTGCCCCTCTTTATAACCCGTGAAATAGCCCTAGTTCTAATTAAATTTCAGTTCAAGCTTCCAAAATGACTTCCGACAATATTAAAGTAGCCATAAAGATCAGACCAATGATCCACCCCGAAGTAGCCGATGGTCTAGAGCGTCTTTGGAACGTAAGAGCAAACTGCATATGGGAAGCCGATGAAAGTAGTCGCCATGGAGAGGTTTATATATTCGACCATGTATTTAACTAGGAATGTACAAATTCAGATGTATATGGATCTGTAGTAAAACCTTTAGTCGTTTCCTTCATGGAAGGTTTCAATGCCACAATATTTGCATATGGCCAAACATCTTCTGGCAAAACACACACCATTTTGGGCAATGAAACAGATCCTGGGCTTTTCCAATTAGTATCCAATCAGTTATTCCAGCATGTGGCAGACCAGGTTGATAAGAGGTACTTGATCAGATGCAGTTATATTGAAATCTACAATGAAAAGATCAATGACCTCCTGGATAAGAGCAATCAGGGTTTAACTTTAAGAGAAGATATCAAAGGAAATGTGCTGCTTGATGCAAGGGAACCTGTCGTAGACAATGTTGATAAAGTTATGGAGAACATGATGCAGGGCAATAAGATCAGACGAGTTGCAGCTACTCGCATGAATGAGAGGTCATCTCGATCACACACGATTTTCCGGATTATTCTGGAGTCGAAAGATGCCAATCAGAAAGATGGACCTGTACATATAAGCTACCTTAACTTAATGGACTTAGCTGGTTCTGAGAGAGTTTCTCTGACGAAAGCTGCTGGTGAGCGTCTTAAAGAGGGGGCTAACATAAACAATCTTTGTCAGTATTAGGAAATGTGATAAGGCAACTAAGCGAGGGGAAGGAGTTTATCAGTTATCGCGATTCGAAATTGACTAGACTGCTCTCACAGGCTCTTGGCGGTAATGCCAAATCATTGATTATCGGAAATGTTACTTTAGCTGCAGAGGAGACTAGATCTACACCAGAATTCGCCCAAAGCACTAAAACTGTCAAAAATAAACCGAAAGTAAACATCTTGTCAGCTACAGAAGAGGCACTTCAAGGATATCAGAACTTGACTCGCGATCTCGAAACTCGGCTCAAAAAGCAGGCAATTAAGCTAGAAGAGATGGAGAAAAGCAAACAAGAGTATCTGCTCGAGATAGAAAGACTAAAAACGGAAGTATCTATTGTCGGGCGCTTTCAAATGGGAGCCTCGTCATCAACACCGAAAAAAACATTAAGACGTCATACTTTTGGAGACTATGGCAACGTATCACCTAAAAAAGCATCCCTACGGTATATGCCATTGAAAAATTATCCACCCAAAGAAGAATCATCCGGACGTGAAATGAGGCCTATTCAAGAAGAGACATATGAGGAGGCACTAGCCGAAGCAGAATCTGTGATAGCTGAAGACGTGCCTGCAAGTGTACTTAAAAGACAACTCAAAGAACTGGAAGAATCTTTCAATGAGCTTAGAGAATTCACTAAACTAGATAATCAGCTGGAGATTTTGGACCTGAAGAAACAGCTCACAGAAGCCAATTCTAAAATCGATCGTTACAGTCAGGAACTCCGCCAAGTAACGGATGCGTACAACGAAGAAATAGAAAGGGTTCAAAAAAATTCTCAAAAAGCGCAAGAATTTCATCGACTTGCAATACAGACTCGATTTTCTGGAAAAACATTATAAAAAGACTAAAAACATACGAGTCAGAAATAGAGATGCTGCGTACTCAACTGAAGAACCTAGGAAGATCAGAGAGCCCTTAACTATCTCTTGAAGCTCAAAATATTGAGTCAAAAAAGAAGGTTGCAGGCTTAGAAGCTACGCTTGACGCTGAGTATGAAGATATGCAAGATATGTGCTGCTACACACAAACTGATGTAACGATGTCACAGATTGCTGAACTGCAAGATGAAATTGGCTTCCTAAAGAACTTGAATCTAAACTGAGAAATGACGTAAAGAGTCTGATGGACGAGAGTAATCAACGTGAGGTCAACCACTCATTTAAAATCTCAGATATACGATGCCATAATGATTCTACTATAAAAGACCTTCAGGATCAAATGGCTGAACTGGAATGCCAAAACGAAATCTGGATTATGAAAAATGACGACGAAATCAGAAAATTGCAACAACTAATTACAAACCCGAAGCTGGCTGGCACTTAACCAGAACCACCTGTGCAGGAAGACGTTGCATTTTATAGGGAGCAAGTTGAGTTCTCCCAGAACATGTACAAAAATGAGATAATAGGTGGAGAGTTACGTATAAACCATAGAGAAAATCTTCAGGCAGTTAAACTAGAAATATGTCTACCCTTGTTTAGTGTTTACGATTATTGCAGGGTTTGGACAAAGTTTAGGGCTGATCCCACGGACCACGATAGCACCTAGGACTTAAGATTGTGAATCTAGTCTTGGTAACCGCTCACAGTGTACAATTTTCAGCTAATAAATCTTGAATTCTGAGGTAACAAAATCAACTAGAGCTCTGTAAAAGTGATTTATCAGAAATCATGCCCTTACTTCCATGATAAGAGGAATTCGTAAAAATTATAAGCAGGTTGTGGCTTATTATCTAGTAAAAGATACAAGAATCCCAGATCTGAAAACGATTATTGTTCATGTGATCACAAACTTGCAGCGACTTGGTTTGTGCGTCGTTGGCACTATTTTGTAATCAGGGCGCAACGATCAAAAACGCACTTGAGACGATTTGCTCGGAGAATACTCACGGATCAAGTCCATTCCATTTTATAGCAATGCTCAGAGTATTTCTACAATTTTTGATGAACCACATTTATTCAAAAATGGATGAAATGCTCTTATTGACATTAATATGAAAGTGAAGAAGCTGCACAGCTTGAACATGTCTAGAAAGCAAATAATGTTGATCAGCAAACAAGACCATACAAAGAGCTATGTAGATTGAACCCCGGCCACTTTGATTTTATAGATTCGTTTAAGAATATAGAAATTAATCCTTTAATGGTATCGTCGGATGATTCGAGCTTTCTCAGTTATGTGGTGGGGGTCCCGTGACTTCTCATACGGTATAAGCACGTATACCTCAAACCACAGTTTAATTTAAACATCACAAGTGTTGGTTTGTTGACTTTGCGGTCAAATTTGATCCGAGGATGTCAGTTGCGTGTACGATTTGAACTTCCTTCACAATGGATTTTTTCGTTGTTGACGGATGAACAATACACCATAGACTACGCCGAGGACGACGCTGTTAGCGATCAACCTGAACAACTTCCTATGGGCGACCTCGCTATGCTTATGGAAAAAACATGTACAATTGGTCAAAACGAGCGCCTGCAACTGGTCGATCCAGACGACAATATTATTACGCGTTCACCTGAACTAAAGTCCGTGGCAACCAATTTGGAAAATAATAACCCTGTGACTCGAGAAATGCAGATAAATTTCTCCAAATACGTGAAATTTTCGAGACACTCATAGAGAACTGTCGAAATTATTATATTTCGGTGAGTCCCCTACAAAATACGAGATGCTCGTGGGCCGATGTCCTTCCTGTGCCTACAAGAAAACTAAACCGAATAAGTATGGACTGATGATGCAAAGACTCACCACTACCTGCTCAATGCTTTCGTCTATACGAACAGAAATATCACACCAGTAGAATTACATGTAGAATTGCGCATCAACCAACTGACCAATGTCGGCAGGAAGCGTAAAAATAAGTAACAAGTACCCCAACATGTAGTTCCAAATAAGAAGGAAACACAGCCAGGTACTTCTAAGTTTATGTTCACTAGCACTACAGCCTTAGTGTAGTATCTTCCAAAACCAAATACACATGTTCTCGTATAGCAATCTATGCAGCATGATAAACAAAATAGTAGAGGAATCAAAGAAACCTGATAAGATTCTATATTATTTTTATAACACTATGAAGGCATTTGCATTAGATCGGAAGTGTGTAAATTACAATACTGGTTAGAGAACGAGAAGATGGCCTTGTGCTATTTGGTATCCAACCAGCTTCTGTATATTCCTTTTTTTTTCAGTCTGGGACTGAAAGTTCTATTAGGCGACGAAATTTTATTTTCCCCTGAGCGTTTTATGCGTACAAACCTGTTGTACACATGGCTAAAAACAGTAATGGCATTTCAGAAGTTGATAGTAAGATCCGGTGGATAACCTGTTTTGCGAGATTAGACGTGGGATTTCCAACACGAACCCCATCTGCTTATTTGCAGCTTTAAAAACTGTAATAATCAACAATTTCAGTTTTCCATTGACAATAATGAAGAATTATGAAGGCGATTCATGTAAGGCACTAGGTAACTTCGCGTTGCTTTTAGAAGAGTATTGTCTGAATAGACAACAGTTACCTTGTGATTCTTCACCGAGCTGCATTTTTCAAGTTGAAAAATCGGGTGCTGGAAGTGATGGATCTATAGATTTGTGAGAATTTGCTGCTGCTTCAACTTCTTTTTGTAATAACAATAACAGTCTATAAGAAATTTAACAATTCTGTTTCTTCTTTGATTTTGAGTCACCCTGTAAATGTAGCTCTACTAAACTATCGGACCGCATTCATAGCCTACAAGAGAAAAAAATCTTCTATACTGGAAAGGAGGAAAAAAAGAATGTATCAACCTGATACATCTGCCCCTCTGTATAATCCGTGAAATAGCCCTAGTTCAAATTAAATTTCAGTTCAAGCTTCCAAAATGACTTCCAACAATATTAAAGTAGCCACAAAGATCAGACCAATGATCCACCGCGAAGTAGCCGATGGTCTAGAGCGTCTTTGGAACGTAAGAGTAAAACTGCATATGGGAAGCCGATGAAAGTAGTCGCCATGGAGAGGTTTATATATTCGACCATGTATTTAATCAGGAATGTACAAATTCAGATGTATATGGATCTGTAGTAAAACCTTTAGTCGATTCCTTCATGGAAGGTTTCAATGCCACAATATTTGCATATGGCCAAACATCTTCTGGCAAAACACACACCATTTTGGGCAATAAAACAGATCCTGGGCTTTTCCAATTAGTATCCAATCAGTTATTCCAGCATGTGGCAGACCAGGTTGATAAGAGGTACTTGATTAGATGCAGTTATATTGAAATCTACAATGAAAAGATCAATGACCTCCTGGATAAGAGCAATCAGGGTTTAACTATGAGAAGATATCAAAGGAAATGTGCTGCTTGATGCAAGGGAAGCTGTCGTAGACAATGTTGATAAAGTTATGGAGAACATGATGCAGGGCAATAAGATCAGACGAGTTGCAGCTACTCGCATGAATGAGAGGTCATCTCGATCACACACGATTTTCCGGATTATTCTGGAGTCGAAAGATGCCAATCAGAAAGATGGACCTGTACATATAAGCTACCTTAACTTAATGGACTTAGCTGGTTCTGAGAGAGTTTCTCTGACGAAAGCTGCTGGTGAGCGTCTTAAAGAGGGGGCTAACATAAACAAATCTTTTCAGTATTAGGAAATGTGATAAGGCAACTAAGCGAGGGGAAGGAGTTTATCAGTTATCGCGATTCGAAATTGACTAGACTGCTCTCACAGGCTCTTGGCGGTAATGCCAAATCATTGATTATCGGGAATGTTACTTTAGCTGCAGAGGAGGAGACTAGATCTACACCAGAATTCGCCCAAAGCACTAAAACTGTCAAAATAAAACGAAAGTAAACATCTTGTCAGCTACAGAAGAGACACTTCAAGGATATCAGAACTTGACTCGCGATCTCGAAACTCGGCTCAAAAAGCAGGCAATTAAGCTAAAAGAGATGGATAAAAGCAAACAAGAGTATCTGCTCGAAATAGAAAGACTAAAAACGGAAGTATCTATTGTCGGGCGCTTTCAAATGGGAGCCTCGGCATCAACACCGAAAAAAACATTAAGACGTCATACTTTTGGACACTATGGCAACGTATCACCTAAAAAAAGCATCCCTAGGGTATATGCCATTGAAAAATTATCCACCAAAGAAGAATCATCCGGACGTGAAATGAGGCCTATTCAAGAAGAGACATATGAGGAGGCACTAGCCGAAAGCAGAATCTGTGATAGCTGAAGACGTGCAAGTGTACTTAAAAGACAACGCAAAGAACTGGAAGAATCTTTCAATGAGCTTAGAGAATTCACTAAACTAGATAATCAGCTGGAGATTTTGGACCTGAAGAAACAGCTCACAGAAGCCAATTCTAAAATCGATCGTTACAGTCAGGAACTCCGCCAAGTAACGGATGCGTACAACGAAGAAATAGAAAGAGTTCAAAAAAATTCTCAAAAAGCGCAAGAATTTCATCGACTTGCAATACAGACTCGATTTTCTGGAAAAAAATAATAAAAAGACTAAAAACATACGAGTCAGAAATAGAGATGCTGCGTACTCAACTGAAGAACCTAGGAAGATCAGAGAGCCCTAAACCATCTCTTGAAGCTCAAAATATTGAGTCAAAAAAGAAGGTTGCAGACTTAGAAGCTATGCTTGACGCTGAGTACGAAGATATGCAACATTCTTTAAGTGCTGCTGCACAAACTGATGTAACGATGTCACACATTGCTGAACTGCAAGATGAAATTGGCTTCCTAAAAGAACTTGAATCTAAACTGAGAAATGACGTAAAGAGTCTGATGGACGAGAGTAACCAACGTGAGGTCAACCACTCATTTAAAATCTCAGATAAGATGCCATAATGATTCTACTATAAAAGAGCTTCAGGATCAAATGGCTGAACTGGAATGCCAAAACGAAATCTGGATTATGAAAAAGGACGACGAAATCAGAAATTGCAACAACTAATTACAAACCCGAAGCAGGCTGGCACTTAACCAGAACCACCTGTGCAGGAAGACGTTGCATTTTATAGGGAGCAAGTTGAGTTCTCCCAGAACATGTACAAAAATGAGATAATAGGTGGAGAGTTACGTATAAACCATAGAGAAAATCTTCAGGCAGTTAAACTAGAAATATGTCTACCCTTGTTTAGTGTTTACGATTATTGCAGGGTTTGGACAAAGTTTAGGGCTGATCCCAGTGCTCACAGTGTACAATTTTCAGCTAATAAATCTTGAATTCTGAGGTAACAAAATCAACTAGAACTCTGAAAAAGTGATTTATCAGAAATCATTGCCCTTACTTAAAAATTATAAGCAGGTTGTGGCTTATTATCTAGTAAAAGATACAAGAATCCCAGATCTGAAAACGATTATTGTTCATGTGATCACAAACTAGCAGCGACTTGGTTTGTGCGTTGTTGGCACTATTTCTAATCAGGGCGCAACGATCAAAAACGCACTTGAGACGATTTGCTCGGAGAATACTCACGGATCAAGTCCATTCCATTTTATAGTCAATGCTCAGAGTATTTCTACAATTTGTGATGAACCACATTTATTCAAAAATGGATGAAATGCTCTTATTGACATTAATATGAAAGTGAAGAAGCTGCACAGATTGAACATGTCTAGAAATCATATAATGTTGATCAGCAAACAAGACCATACAAAGAAGACGTGCAAGTGTACTTAAAAGACAACGCAAAGAACTGGAAGAATCTTTCAATGAGCTTAGAGAATTCACTAAACTAGATAATCAGCTGGAGATTTTGGACCTGAAGAAACAGCTCACAGAAGCCAATTCTAAAATCGATCGTTACAGTCAGGAACTCCGCCAAGTAACGGATGCGTACAACGAAGAAATAGAAAGAGTTCAAAAAAATTCTCAAAAAGCGCAAGAATTTCATCGACTTGCAATACAGACTCGATTTTCTGGAAAAAATAATAAAAAGACTAAAACATACGAGTCAGAAATAGAGATGCTGCGTACTCAACTGAAGAACCTAGGAAGATCAGAGAGCCCTAAACCATCTCTTGAAGCTCAAAATATTGAGTCAAAAAAGAAGGTTGCAGACTTAGAAGCTATGCTTGACGCTGAGTACGAAGATATGCAAGATTCTTTAAGTGCTGCTACACAAACTGATGTAACGATGTCACACATTGCTGAACTGCAAGATGAAATTGGCTTCCTAAAAGAACTTGAATCTAAACTGAGAAATGACGTAAAGAGTCTGATGGACGAGAGTAACCAACGTGAGGTCAACCACTCATTTAAAATCTCAGATATACGATGCCATAATGATTCTACTATAAAAGAGCTTCAGGATCAAATGGCTGAACTGGAATGCCAAAACGAAATCTGGATTATGAAAAGTGCCCCTCTTTATAACCCGTGAAATAGCCCTAGTTCTAATTAAATTTCAGTTCAAGCTTCCAAAATGACTTCCGACAATATTAAAGTAGCCACAAAGATCAGACCAATGATCCACCGCGAAGTAGCCGATGGTCTAGAGCGTCTTTGGAACGTAAGAGTAAACTGCATATGGGAAGCCGATGAAAGTAGTCGCCATGGAGAGGTTTATATATTCGACCATGTATTTAAGCAGGAATGTACAAATTCAGATGTATATGGATCTGTAGTAAAACCTTTAGTCGATTCCTTCATGGAAGGTTTCAATGCCACAATATTTGCATATGGCCAAACATCTTCTGGCAAAACACACACCATTTTGGGCAATAAAACAGATCCTGGGCTTTTCCAATTAGTATCCAATCAGTTATTCCAGCATGTGGCAGACCAGGTTGATAAGAGGTACTTGATTAGATGCAGTTATATTGAAATCTACAATGAAAAGATCAATGACCTCCTGGATAAGAGCAATCAGGGTTTAACTATAAGAGAAGATATCAAGGAAATGTGCTGCTTGATGCAAGGGAAGCTGTCGTAGACAATGTTGATAAAGTTATGGAGAACATGATGCAGGGCAATAAGATCAGACGAGTTGCAGCTACTCGCATGAATGAGAGGTCATCTCGATCACACACGATTTTCCGGATTATTCTGGAGTCGAAAGATGCCAATCAGAAAGATGGACCTGTACATATAAGCTACCTTAACTTAATGGACTTAGCTGGTTCTGAGAGAGTTTCTCTGACGAAAGCTGCTGGTGAGCGTCTTAAAGAGGGGGCTAACATAAACAAATCTTTGTCAGTATTAGGAATGTGATAAGGCAACTAAGCGAGGGGAAGGAGTTTATCAGTTATCGCGATTCGAAATTGACTAGACTGCTCTCACAGGCTCTTGGCGGTAATGCCAAATCATTGATTATCGGGAATGTTACTTTAGCTGCAGAGGAGGAGACTAGATCTACACCAGAATTCGCCCAAAGCACTAAAACTGTCAAAAATAAAACGAAAGTAAACATCTTGTCAGCTACAGAAGAGACACTTCAAGGATATCAGAACTTGACTCGCGATCTCGAAACTCGGCTCAAAAAGCAGGCAATTAAGCTAAAAGAGATGGATAAAAGCAAACAAGAGTATCTGCTCGAGATAGAAAGACTAAAAACGGAAGTATCTATTGTCGGGCGCTTTCAAATGGGAGCCTCGGCATCAACACCGAAAAAAAACATTAAGACGTCATACTTTTGGACACTATGGCAACGTATCACCTAAAAAAGCATCCCTAGGGTATATGCCATTGAAAAATTATCCACCCAAAGAAGAATCATCCGGACGTGAAATGAGGCCTATTCAAGAAGAGACATATGAGGAGGCACTAGCCGAAGCAGAATCTGTGATAGCTGAAGACGTGCAAGTGTACTTAAAAGACAACTCAAAGAACTGGAAGAATCTTTCAATGAGCTTAGAGAATTCACTAAACTAGATAATCAGCTGGAGATTTTGGACCTGAAGAAACAGCTCACAGAAGCCAATTCTAAATTCGATCGTTACAGTCAGGAACTCCGCCAAGTAACGGATGCGTACAACGAAGAAATAGAAAGAGTTCAAAAAAATTCTCAAAAAGCGCAAGAATTTCATCGACTTGCAATACAGACTCGATTTTCTGGAAAAAAATAATAAAAAGACTAAAAACATACGAGTCAGAAATAGAGATGCTGCGTACTCAACTGAAGAACCTAGGAAGATCAGAGAGCCCTAAACCATCTCTTGAAGCTCAAAATATTGAGTCAAAAAAGAAGGTTGCAGACTTAGAAGCTATGCTTGACGCTGAGTACGAAGATATGCAACATTCTTTAAGTGCTGCTGCACAAACTGATGTAACGATGTCACACATTGCTGAACTGCAAGATGAAATTGGCTTCCTAAAAGAACTTGAATCTAAACTGAGAAATGACGTAAAGAGTCTGATGGACGAGAGTAACCAACGTGAGGTCAAACCACTCATTTAAAATCTCAGATATACGATGCCATAATGATTCTACTATAAAAGAGCTTCAGGATCAAATGGCTGAACTGGAATGCCAAAACGAAATCTGGATTATGAAAAAGGACGACGAAATCAGAAAATTGCAACAACTAATTACAAACCCGAAGCAGGCTGGCACTTAACCAGAACCACCTGTGCAGGAAGACGTTGCATTTTATAGGGAGCAAGTTGAGTTCTCCCAGAACATGTACAAAAATGAGATAATAGGTGGAGAGTTACGTATAAACCATAGAGAAAATCTTCAGGCAGTTAAACTAGAAATATGTCTACCCTTGTTTAGTGTTTACGATTATTGCAGGGTTTGGACAAAGTTTAGGGCTGATCCCAGTGCTCACAGTGTACAATTTTCAGCTAATAAATCTTGAATTCTGAGGTAACAAAATCAACTAGAACTCTGAAAAGTGATTTATCAGAAATCATGCCCTTACTTAAAAATTATAAGCAGGTTGTGGCTTATTATCTAGTAAAAGATACAAGAATCCCAGATCTGAAAACGATTATTGTTCATGTGATCACAAACTAGCAGCGACTTGGTTTGTGCGTTGTTGGCACTATTTCTAATCAGGGCGCAACGATCAAAAACGCACTTGAGACGATTTGCTCGGAGAATACTCACGGATCAAGTCCATTCCATTTTATAGTCAATGCTCAGAGTATTTCTACAATTTGTGATGAACCACATTTATTCAAAAATGGATGAAATGCTCTTATTGACATTAATATGAAAGCGAAGAAGCTGCACAGATTGAACATGTCTAGAAATCATATAATGTTGATCAGCAAACAAGACCATACAAAGAAGACGTGCAAGTGTACTTAAAAGACAACTCAAAGAACTGGAAGAATCTTTCAATGAGCTTAGAGAATTCACTAAACTAGATAATCAGCTGGAGATTTTGGACCTGAAGAAACAGCTCACAGAAGCCAATTCTAAATTCGATCGTTACAGTCAGGAACTCCGCCAAGTAACGGATGCGTACAACGAAGAAATAGAAAGAGTTCAAAAAAATTCTCAAAAAGCGCAAGAATTTCATCGACTTGCAATACAGACTCGATTTCTGGAAAAAAATAATAAAAAGACTAAAAACATACGAGTCAGAAATAGAGATGCTGCGTACTCAACTGAAGAACCTAGGAAGATCAGAGAGCCCTAGACCATCTCTTGAAGCTCAAAATATTGAGTCAAAAAGAAGGTTGCAGACTTAGAAGCTATGCTTGACGCTGAGTACGAAGATATGCAAGATTCTTTAAGTGCTGCTACACAAACTGATGTAACGATGTCACACATTGCTGAACTGCAAGATGAAATTGGCTTCCTAAAAGAACTTGAATCTAAACTGAGAAATGACGTAAAGAGTCTGATGGACGAGAGTAACCAACGTGAGGTCAACCACTCATTTAAAATCTCAGATATACGATGCCATAATGATTCTACTATAAAAGAGCTTCAGGATCAAATGGCTGAACTGGAATGCCAAAACGAAATCTGGATTATGAAAAGTGCCCCTCTTTATAACCCGTGAAATAGCCCTAGTTCTAATTAAATTTCAGTTCAAGCTTCCAAATGACTTCCGACAATATTAAAGTAGCCACAAAGATCAGACCAATGATCCACCGCGAAGTAGCCGATGGTCTAGAGCGTCTTTGGAACGTAAGAGTAAACTGCATATGGGAAGCCGATGAAAGTAGTCGCCATGGAGAGGTTTATATATTCGACCATGTATTTAAGCAGGAATGTACAAATTCAGATGTATATGGATCTGTAGTAAAACCTTTAGTCGATTCCTTCATGGAAGGTTTCAATGCCACAATATTTGCATATGGCCAAACATCTTCTGGCAAAACACACACCATTTTGGGCAATAAAACAGATCCTGGGCTTTTCCAATTAGTATCCAATCAGTTATTCCAGCATGTGGCAGACCAGGTTGATAAGAGGTACTTGATTAGATGCAGTTATATTGAAATCTACAATGAAAAGATCAATGACCTCCTGGATAAGAGCAATCAGGGTTTAACTATAAGAGAAGATATCAAAGGAAATGTGCTGCTTGATGCAAGGGAAGCTGTCGTAGACAATGTTGATAAAGTTATGGAGAACATGATGCAGGGCAATAAGATCAGACGAGTTGCAGCTACTCGCATGAATGAGAGGTCATCTCGATCACACACGATTTTCCGGATTATTCTGGAGTCGAAAGATGCCAATCAGAAAGATGGACCTGTACATATAAGCTACCTTAACTTAATGGACTTAGCTGGTTCTGAGAGAGTTTCTCTGACGAAAGCTGCTGGTGAGCGTCTTAAAGAGGGGGCTAACATAAACAAATCTTTGTCAGTATTAGGAAATGTGATAAGGCAACTAAGCGAGGGGAAGGAGTTATCAGTTATCGCGATTCGAAATTGACTAGACTGCTCTCACAGGCTCTTGGCGGTAATGCCAAATCATTGATTATCGGGAATGTTACTTTAGCTGCAGAGGAGGAGACTAGATCTACACCAGAATTCGCCCAAAGCACTAAAACTGTCAAAATAAAACGAAAGTAAACATCTTGTCAGCTACAGAAGAGACACTTCAAGGATATCAGAACTTGACTCGCGATCTCGAAACTCGGCTCAAAAAGCAGGCAATTAAGCTAAAAGAGATGGATAAAAGCAAACAAGAGTATCTGCTCGAGATAGAAAGACTAAAAACGGAAGTATCTATTGTCGGGCGCTTTCAAATGGGAGCCTCGGCATCAAACACCGAAAAAAACATTAAGACGTCATACTTTTGGACACTATGGCAACGTATCACCTAAAAAAGCATCCCTAGGGTATATGCCATTGAAAAATTATCCACCCAAAGAAGAATCATCCGGACGTGAAATGAGGCCTATTCAAGAAGAGACATATGAGGAGGCACTAGCCGAAGCAGAATCTGTGATAGCTGAAGACGTGCAAGTGTACTTAAAAGACAACTCAAAGAACTGGAAGAATCTTTCAATGAGCTTAGAGAATTCACTAAACTAGATAATCAGCTGGAGATTTTGGACCTGAAGAAACAGCTCACAGAAGCCAATTCTAAATTCGATCGTTACAGTCAGGAACTCCGCCAAGTAACGGATGCGTACAACGAAGAAATAGAAAGAGTTCAAAAAAATTCTCAAAAAGCGCAAGAATTTCATCGACTTGCAATACAGACTCGATTTTCTGGAAAAAAATAATAAAAAGACTAAGAACATACGAGTCAGAAATAGAGATGCTGCGTACTCAACTGAAGAACCTAGGAAGATCAGAGAGCCCTAAACCATCTCTTGAAGCTCAAAATATTGAGTCAAAAAAGAAGGTTGCAGACTTAGAAGCTATGCTTGACGCTGAGTACGAAGATATGCAACATTCTTTAAGTGCTGCTGCACAAACTGATGTAACGATGTCACACATTGCTGAACTGCAAGATGAAATTGGCTTCCTAAAAGAACTTGAATCTAAACTGAGAAATGACGTAAAGAGTCTGATGGACGAGAGTAACCAACGTGAGGTCAACCACTCAGTTTAAAATTTCAGATATACGATGCCATAATGATTCTACTATAAAAGAGCTTCAGGATCAAATGGCTGAACTGGAATGCCAAAACGAAATCTGGATTATGAAAAAGGACGACGAAATCAGAAAATTGCAACAACTAATTACAAACCCGAAGCAGGCTGGCACTTAACCAGAACCACCTGTGCAGGAAGACGTTGCATTTTATAGGGAGCAAGTTGAGTCTCCCAGAACATGTAAAAAAATGAGATAATAGGTGGAGAGTTACGTATAAACCATAGAGAAAATCTTCAGGCAGTTAAACTAGAAATATGTCTACCCTTGTTTAGTGTTTACGATTATTGCAGGGTTTGGACAAAGTTTAGGGCTGATCCCAGTGCTCACAGTGTACAATTTTCAGCTAATAAATCTTGAATTCTGAGGTAACAAAATCAACTAGAACTCTGAAAAAGTGATTTATCAGAAATCATGCCCTTACTTCCATGATAAGAGGGATTCGTAAAAATTATAAGCAGGTTGTGGCTTATTATCTAGTAAAAGATACAAGAATCCCAGATCTGAAAACGATTATTGTTCATGTGATCACAAACTAGCAGCGACTTGGTTTGTGCGTTGTTGGCACTATTTCTAATCAGGGCGCAACGATCAAAAACGCACTTGAGACGATTTGCTCGGAGAATACTCACGGATCAAGTCCATTCCATTTTATAGTCAATGCTCAGAGTATTTCTACAATTTGTGATGAACCACATTTATTCAAAAATGGATGAAATGCTCTTATTGACATTAATATGAAAGTGAAGAAGCTGCACAGATTGAACATGTCTAGAAATCATATAATGTTGATCAGCAAACAAGACCATACAAAGAGCTATGTAAATTGAAACCCAGCCACTTTGATTTTATAGATTCGTTCAAGAATATAGAAATTAATCCTTTAATGATATCGTCGGATGATTCGAGCTTTCTCAGTTATGTGGGGGGGTCCCGTGACTTCTCATACGGTATGAGCACGTATACCTCAAACCACAGTTTAATTTAAACATCACAATTGTTGGTTTGTTGACTTTGCGGTCAAATTTGATCCGAGGATGTCAGTTGCGTGTACGATTTGAACTTCCTTCACAATGGATTTTTTCGTTGTTGACGGATGAACAATACACTATAGACTACGCCGAGGACGACGCTGCTATCGATCAACCTGAACAACTTCCTATGGGCGACCTCGCTATGCCTATGGAAAAAACATGTACAATTGGTCAAAACGAGCGCCTGCAACTGGTCGATTATTACGCATTTACCTGAACTAAAGTCCGTGGCAACCAATTTGGAAAATAATAACCCTGTGACTCGAGAAATGCCGATAAATTTCTCCAAATACGTGAAATTTTCGAGACACTCATAGAGAACTGTCGAAATTGTTATATTTCGGGTGAGTCCCCTACAAAATACGAGATGCTCGTGGGCCGATGTCCTTCCTGTGCCTACAAGAAAACTAAACCGAATAAGTATGGACTGATGATGCAAAGACTCACCACTACCTGCTCAATGCTTTCGTCTATACGAACAGAAATATCACAGCAGATGACTGGTTCACGTCAGTAGAATTACATGTAGAATTGCGCATCAACCAACTGACCTATGTCGGCAGGAAGCGTAAAAATAAGTAACAAGTACCCCAACATGTAGTTCCAAATAAGAAGGAAACACAGCCAGGTACTTCTAAGTTTATGTTGTACAGCCTTAGAGTAGTATCTTCCAAAACCAAATACACATGTTCTCGTATAGCAATCTATGCAGC